TGTGTGTATATGGGGGGGGGGGGGGGGGGGGGGGCACTTTTGGGGACGCAGCAGTATGCGCGAGTCGGTTCAGGGGAGTTGCGAAGATGCGTGACCTGATGCAATCCTCATGACCGCGGCGGTAATGGAGACGGAGAACCTGGTGAAGTTCAGCGTCTCCGAGGGAACAGCTGACTCCTCTCGCGCCTCCTTTTAATTGGTCCAAGGAGGCCTGTTTGCGCAGATTGAGAGAAGCCCAACAAGCGAGACACACGATGCCTCACCCACATCTCTATTGTTGTTACAGTGTCTCCAGTCGCGGCGTCCGCGTGCTTGTTTCTGAAAATAACTGCAGTGGTGGAAAAAAAAAAAAATAATAAAAAAAAAAGTCAGTTAAAAGAATTGTGAAATATGCTGAGGAGAAATAAAATGTCTGTAACAAATAGCAACGTCAATCAAACTAGACAGTTCTGTGAGGTCTGTGGAATGGGAAGTAAGTCATATTTTTTTAAAATTGTTTTAAAAAAAATAAATAAAATAAAATAATGTCAGTGATTTCTCATGACCTTCCAACACCGAGATTGCTGATTGGGGGATTCAAGGTCCCAAACAGTGTGCCAGGTGCAAATCGCTTACCAAAGGAAAGACCCCGTCAGACAGGCAGTGTGTTTCGCTTTACAAGTTCTGTCTGGGGACTTCAGCCTTTTTCTACCGGCAGAACCAAACTGGACCTTTCTGGTACCACTTTTCTTTTTAATTGAACTCTTGGCATCACCATTCCCTACAAGTCACCTAAAATTATAGCACTTTTTTTTTTCTCACAGGAATTGAATCACTGCATTTCACTTATTCATATTTTTTTCTCTCCATGTGCACTAATGTAATTCAAAGTTGACTGATATTTGGTTTATGGAATATTAAAGAACACGGTCGGCATGCTTACTGAGTATAAGATAACCTGATTACTGTGTTGAGTACAAGAGACTGCAAGCCTAGCCTTGTGTTCACCGAATATCACAGACCAAGAGTATCTGTTTACTGAGTACAAGAGATCAAACACGTTATGAGAAGTATGAGAAGGAAAGAACTGTGCTTACGGAGTATAAGATAACACAGGCAACTCAGTTAGCAGGTTTTTCTATGGAAATTATCACGTTTTATTAAGAGTATCATTGAGTATGACAGAACAGCAACAATGTGCTTACTGAGTTTAAGAGAACACATGCAGTGTGTTTACTGAGTAGAAGAACAGCAGCACTGCACTGACAGTTTAACGGAACATAAGCAGTGTGTTTACTGAACATAACGGAACACATGCAGCGTACTTACTGAGTGTAAGAGAACACATGCAGCGTGTTTACTGAGTTTAACAGAAGGCATGTAGTGTTTTTACTGAGTGTAAGAAGATACAAGCAGTGTGTTTACTGAGTATGAGAACAGCAGTACTCTGCTTACTGGGTGTGAGAGAACACATGCAGCGTGTTTACTGAGTATAACAGAAGGCATGCAATGTGTTTGCTGCATATCACAGATCGGAAAAACGATTGCGGAGTGTCAGAGAACATGATTTGTGGCTCAAGAAGCAGCACGCCAACGCAGAAAATTAACATTTTCAATGACATAACAATTTTCTAAATTCCATATATTGAAGCGTAACAAATTATTCATTTTAAATCACAGTTACGGAGAAAAAGGAAAAAAAAGCAAACTACACAGTGGAGATACTGCAACCTGTCTGTCAGCAACAGCAACATCACACTGTGTTTGGCAACTGTAGGCTTTGCCTTTTGTTAAGGTCTGAACATACAACATAAGCAGAAAATATTTCTAGAGAGAGAGAGAACAGGGGCACACATGCTGAATGTATGGTATATTAGTTACAGTTACATCACCATTTCATCATTACCTTCCTGGAACTTCCTTGTTGTTTTCAGTTTTTAAGAAATTTTTTAATGAAGTCTCGAAAATACTTCACATTTGATAAATTACGAATTTTAATTATTGTATTTGGTGATCCTCCGAAGATGCGGAGTACTCAGAGATTATCTTCTGCCACAAAAAAAAAAATAATAGATGGCACGCAAGTGAACTGAATGAAGCAATTAACGCCATCCCTCGATGTGACTGCGATAAAACAAATAGATAAATAAGCAAAGGTTTTCCAACGTCGTTGAGATGCTGTTGTTCATGGGGTGGATGGTCCTAACTGGGACTAAAATGTCAAAGTACATCATAAACAACAACAGGTGAGGGGGAAATTCCTCAAACCTCTGAAGCAGGAAAAGAATAGAAAAAGTGAGATACTACAGAGTCTGGTCATGCCTGACCATGTTAATTTAATTCATAGTCGAGTGTCTCTCGTTAGACTACTTCAGTGATTCTCCTTCAGATAACGTGATAGTGTCTACATATAGTAAGGGAAAGAACTGTGAGCTGATGACCCTTCGAACATTTAATTTCCAAGTACAAGCTTCACATAAACCTTAAATACCCATCAACATAAACGTGTCTATTTTGATACAGGTGTCGTTTTATGTGTCAGAGTTGAGTACAACAGATACAAAATAATAAAAAAAACAACAGGTTGCAAGAGCACAGAGAACAAAAAAGAAAAACAAGCTGTTCCAGATCATAACAAAACAGCAGAACGCCCAACATTTCATTGGTTATTGAAGCACATGAATAAAAATTATAGTAGTACTGTTTCACTATGGCAAAAAACAAAAACAGAAAAAATTGTACCAAGTAATCAGAGGACAATATATGGACAGATTGATTCAGTGGCACTGGAAGGTGTTCTTAGTTTGTGTTCTTTTTTTGTTGCCAAGCCAAACTAGCCATAGTATTCTAAAATGTATTAAATGAAACACTACCTATAGCAGTCCAAAATGTACTAAATAAATTCAGTGCTAGCTGTAGTAGTTCAAAATCTATTAAGCAAATTGCGTTAGCTATAGTTCTTCAATACGCATCAAATTCAAAGCTAACTATAACAATCCAAAATGTATAAAGTAAATTCAAAATCTCAAGGTTAAATTATTATTCTTTATTATTTTCGAGCTGCATGCTGATAGCACAGACATTTCCTCAGGCACGGTATTTCTGATGGCCTTCAAAAACATAACCTAATGATGCGGTTTGATACTATCTGTCTTATTTCTGCAGACAACCACAAATGTTTTCAGAGGTCAAACATTCCAAAATCCAATCAATGCATTTACACTAAAGGGCAAACAACACAATTAAAATAAGCTTTTTTTTTTTCCAGAACAAGAAGCTTAATTAGCTAATAAGTAAAGCAGGACCGGCAGCATGTCATTTTATAGAAATCCAGTTTAGAAAGCTTGTCATAATCCTGCTGTTTATGTGCATGTAAGTTGCCCATTTTAGGGACTACTGCTTTTTTTCCATGAGTAATTCTCCGCAGGACAGAACTGCAATTACCAAGATGATAAATATGTACAGAGTTAAAGTGTAAACAGAGCCCTGCTACGCACATGCTGCAGCAAACTAGTGACTTCAGGACAACACGTGTGTAAGAAAAAGAGGAATTCAGGAGGGCCATGAACGGAGTACAATTCCAGGTGGACCTCGGACGGTCCCAAGACTCGCACTGTCTAACTGTTCTTTAAAATCTGTTTGGCATCTGGTGCCATAAGCTCCCATGTCTGGCTCTGGCTGCTGGCTGTGACATCGTGGGCAACATGTGGAGTGAAAGGAAGTAGTTGTCATTTAATAATTGTCACCACCATACACATAATTATATTTATTATTCTATTTGTTTTGGCACCATTTGTTTTGTCACACATAATGATATTATTTGATCACAGGATTTATTAAATCTATTTCTTTTTTAAAACGAAAAACTAAAATTGTTATACTGTTTACAAGAAACTGTTTGGACTAACTGGGGTAAACAATTTATGTCATAAAAATCTTAACAGAACATTTAGTGCTGGGGTACCCACAGTATGTTTCAGTGGGTACAAAAGCTGCTTAAGTGCAGGATATACTTTTTGAAATGATCCATCTATCCATCTTCCATTTGCAGCACATGGCCTTGGTGACCGGGGAGCCTATCACAGAAAGAACAGGGTACAATGCAGTTCACGTTATCTTTATTAGATTTACTGTTATTGTTTAACTGGTAAAATAGTTACTTAGTCAACAAAATAAACACAAAACATTAAGAATTTTTTTTTTATGTTTTAAAATGTTTGTTATTTTCATGTGAATATGTTGCATTAAATACATATGAATATACTAAAAATAAATGTGCGAAAATAAATTAGCAAATAAATACACAGATAACACATGCGGGTAATATATCGTATTAACAACAAATCAAGTGGGTTTTTTTAAACACCTATAATCATATATTGATCTCCCATTCAGTCCATATAATGGCCTGTTGGTCGCTGTATTTATAAACTTCACTGGTAACTTGACAGAAAAAAACCGGCCTTTACTGACAAGTATGACCAAATACTCTTAAAACATTAAGCACACAATAAGGGTATTAACATTTTTAACAACGTACTGATCAACGGGACACTACGCATTTCATATTTACCGTCGCGTTTCTGATTAACTTCGTTTTGCCCTCTATTACACGGTGATTTAATAGGGAAACAGCGAAAAGGCGAGCAGTTCCCGTCTTGGGGTTATGGTTTAGCGAATGGCGCCCCCTTCTGAGCACCTCGGGAATAACCTCGTGTCACATGAAAGCTGTACGGCGTCCGAGGTGCGGCTGAGCTTCACCCCAACAAAACAGCTCATTTCATTAATTTTAGTGTAAATTACCAATTACTATGTCTTCAGAGAGAGACTGTTAAGAAGCCGGGCGGTACAACAGAGGGTAAGAACCTACGAAGCTGCTTTGTCCTGCATTGTTTTCAGTTTTCCCCTTGAATCTGTAAATATATATTAATGATAATATATATTACAAAGTATACTTTAGGTTCACTTTGTACAAGTGAAAGTTGTTGTTTTTACTCTTTTGAGACAGGAAAACATCGACATTTCTGAACACTAGCTTCAGCAGATGTTTAACACAGAAATATACATTTATTTGTAATGGTACAGTCGTTACTCGCTTGTATAAGACACCCAGGCTGGGGGGGGCAGTTCAGCAACATCACAGATATTTTTTGTCTTATTCTCGTAAGTGCCAGAATAGTTGGTTCCTGCTGTCTATGGTAAATAATAATTGGCGGATAAGTTTGCCTGTTTTTGTTAAAAAGTATTTTACTTGAGGGCTCTCCGGTTTCCCCCCACAATCCAAGAACAAGCTGAAGTGAACTGGAGCTGCCAGGTTGTCAGTGTGTGTGAATGGTATGTATGCTCTGCGATGGCGTTGGCGGCCCGTCCTACGGGGTTCCGAGATAGACTCCGCTCCCCCCGCGGCCCCGTGTAGGACAATAGAAAACAGATGGATGTATAGATAGTAATCCGTTCTATTTAACAAAACAGACCCATTTTTGTCATTCCGTGTGTCCATTTCCCAATTTTTTTCGCCTCACGTGTCAACCAAAGGTTATCTGATCTCCTGCCGTTTCACACTTAACAGATAGAGGGAGCCGCGCGTGTGACTTTTGCTGCTTATTTGCCCATATTGCGGTCAGCAAGTAACATGTTACCGTCAGATAGAAGCGGGATTAGCAGCAGACAACAATATAATAAAATATATTTGTCCAGACTGATGAAAAGGGGGCATTGGTAGGCTTTTACCGGGTCGTTTCCCTTGAGTCTCTATCAAGTCAGTATTTTTGGAGCTTGTGTGACCTTTGCGGTATCCGCTCTCATGGAGGACTGATAGATCACTGTCAGTGAGGCCTTATTTTCAGCTTGCTCAGATGTTCAAGGAAACTGGAATGGTCACGCTTATGCAAAACATTGCAGGTATGCATTGCGCTAAACTCTGAATCATTCATTTAAGGTCATGTAGCATTTATCTAGCAAGCAAATGTACTGTTTGTATCTTTCTCGATTCTCTTTTCTGAGGAAATCAATTTACACACAGTGAGAATTCTGTACTTGGCATCCTGTCTTATTGTTTCTGTTTCATACTTCCTATAATATAATATAATATAATAATATAGATTATATCTATATTATACATACCCCTTCAGATCAACACTTGGTTGACCAGCTTTGGTAGGAATTTAGAAATTAAATTTGTGAATCTCATACTTATGAGTCTCGGGTGATTTTTGTACTAGACGTGCACATGTGGATTGTTGAGCTGAATTTTTGTTATTTGGATGCCGATGATTGGCTGACGACGCCAAGATCATGTCAGGGTTTGTCTGCAGCGCCTCTGGGACGGTGGCCTGTTTGCTTCTGTGACATCGCTGCGTGCCTCCGAGCGCTGAGATGTCATTTACAAGTGCTCCATTACCGCCCCGGAGGGCAGAGTTCGGAAAGTTTTCCAGCTCATTATGTCATAAAGAGCCCAGAAAAGGAATTAAACAGATTCAGTCGAGACAATTAGTTCAGTGAGGTGGTTCAATACCAAGCCCGCTGGAACAAAGAGCTCCTGAAGTCGGCCATCTAGGATAGGGTATGAATAGCCCTGCTGTAGGTCTTGTGGAGATATCAAAAGGCCTTTTGGTGTTTCTCCTGACAAGTGCCGCCCTGACCCCAGCTGCTCGACGCGGGAGGGAGGCTCGATCTAAACAGGTCCGGGGCGGCACCACACGATCATTAACGGTCGGCTTGACTTCGCTCCATGGAGCGATTGATGCCATTGAGATCTTCCTCTGTCACAGGCCGAGCTGGGTCTTTAAGTAGCATGGAGAGGTCCTCCTTGCCTGAGTGTTTTCTTTGAGCTCGCCGCCAAGCCTGCGTTCCCCCCCGCCCCCCGTCGTCTGGCCATGTGAACCGTTCCATTTTCACACAAATGGACTTTACTCCACTCATTTAACTGTGTGGTTCCCCCCACCGCCTCATAGATGGTTTCCCTCATAATAATATTACACTTCGAAAACCTTTTATAATACATTAGATAATATGCATTGTTTTGTTTTTGCCGCTGTAGTTTCTTGCTTTTTGATCTAGCTTCTAGACTTTCCAAAATTGACGAGAGCATTTCCAAAACTCACTCGGTCCACGGGATACATTTGCAGGAATATTTGTGTGGACCTGGTGAGTCATGGAAAGTTTCCTCATCAGGCTATATGAGGACTGGGTGAGTTTTGCTTCCCAATATTGCAATATACGGTGAGGAAGCCTGACTTTAGCTCACTGGCGCTCTCCTCTCAAAAACAACAGAAAATGGAATGAGTGCATTTTCGAAATGTGCTCTTCAAGTCGTGTTTGTTTTGGAGGTGAAGTGTGACGTGCATAAGCCCATAGACAGACATGAATTTCAAGCGTGGTCTGGCAGATTTTGAGGGGGATTCAAATGTGGTATTTTACTACATGTCTGCAGGTACTGGGGTGAACTGGTTGTCTGTTTTCCAGGACTAAAAGGATAATTTAAGTTATATACTTCAAACCAAGGGCATAGAGTCAAGATATCAGAGACGCCATGTGTGTTTATGGGGATTAGGGGCTGATTTGGTCCCTAGCAAACATACACACTTGCTTCAAACTAAGTGTCAGAGAGGCTCATGGGAGTTTTATTTACACAAAAGTGTTCTGAGAGCAGAAAGAAAAACGACTTGTTCAGAGAGATAACCAATCAGATTGTAGAGGAGGCAGGACCAACCAATCAGATGTCTTGATCCTGCCTCCTCTAGTTGCTGGGATCCGCAGTCTCTTCAGACTGATTAGTGATCTCTCTGAACCAATCATTTTTCCTTCTGCCCTTAGAACATTTTTGTGTAAGTAAAACTTCCACCAGCATCAGAGGCACTTTTGAATACGCCAGCATGCATATTCAATCATTTCGTCTTATGTACCTGGATTTTGGTAACAGTTTAATCTCTCATGGTCATGTTTCAACTTCTAAATGAGACTGTTTTTGAACAAAATCAATCAAATACGATTCCATTGAATCGGCACCTTTATTCTAGGGCTTGGCAATTTGATTTAGTGGAGCCAATTTCAGTTGTAGATGTGTCTGCTACTATTAATACCCTTTTATGAGTGTTTTCTGGGATCGAGTCCAAACTCCCTGTGATCCTACAGCGGATAAGCAAATGTGGAAGAGGGATGAATGTATCAGCATCACCTACTAATAAATGTAAAATAAGCAGGTGCCAGAGCTGTAAAGAATATGGGCCCCCAAAAAGATTGCCGGGTGAAGCCCCACTGAGTGGCCCTGCTACAGCGCCCCCAAGGCCCCCTGTGGTACTGCGCCCAGAATACTGTGGTAAACATCCAGCTGTACGAACAGGTGAAGCTGTAAACTGGTGACACGTCAGTGACGGCTGCCATGCGGCCTCATGGTGCGAGTGAACCTCCCCCGTCGCTTGCCAGCACAGCTCAGAGTCTGTCTTGTCACTCTGAAAGTCCTGGAGGCCACTTGAACCAGCTGAGCTACGAGCCGCTTGATTGGCCGAAGCGCAGCTGATAAAAATAAGCGCATGTTCATTTATTTCTTATTACATGTCGTATCCATCCATCCATCTTCTACCCATTAATCCTGGCCAGTGTCACCAAATTACACTATGATATTTATTAGAATTAATTATTTAGTTCACATCCCTTCTATATATCCATTTCTGAATCAATATCATGAAAAAATAAGCATCAAATAATAAAATAAATAGATAATATGTGACTGTGCACTGATTCACTGCTGGATGTCTGTTTCCTCACTTGCTTATTCTTTTTATGTATGCGTATGTGTATCCAGAGAACCACTGACCAAGATCATTTTTACTTGTGTTTTATCGCTTAATATTTAGCTGTATAAGTGGGTCAATCAGTAATAAATAAATACTTAAATTAATAAATAAATCCCTTTGATACATTACTCTGTGAATAAATGTCATAATATGCTACTTTACACTTGTGTTCAGGATTAGTTTTCTGCTCGTGGTGTTTGCCGTTCTTCTCGTATGTCTGTGTGTTTGGGTTCAGATACACTACATGCATGATAAAATCTCTCAAAGGGGGTAGGCCATATACTGACACAACACAGCCATCAGAGTCCGTTTTACCCATCTGGATGACAGCATGACGGTGAGTATCCAGCAGGGGGCGTGGTGTTTAAGGAATATAGTGTGTGAGAGAGCTGTGGGTTAACCGAAAACGGCTGTTTGGCCCTTTGAGTGACATCTACTACTTCAAAGGCTTACTAATACTCAGCTGCAGACATATGTCTCAAACCGTAAAAATATTATTAGTGGACTATAGAATGAAAGAAAACCTACTGGAACTAAAGAGTTGAATTTCTATTCACTGGTTAGCAATACTGCTGAATGTGTGTTTAGAGACTGTCTATAAAAGCCTCATTGAGGGTATTTTAACATTTAATATGTACACAGATGATTTGGAAACCTGAGGGCAAAGAACAGACATAGACTGGCCAGTAAAATCACTGGTAAGGAGCAGAGGCAAGTGGGTGGTATCCATGACGACAGGACAGAATTCAAAGCCCGAATGAATAGGCCGTGATCCCAATCACTCACTTTTTAATAAAATCGAAAAACTGCCCTTAGGAATGCGCTATAGCGCCGTTAGTAGATTTTAGTAATTTTAATAGACTCTTAAGACTATGGTACCACCCAACTCTCATGCTTGCTTTCGGCGATGATATGCGTAAATGTACTGCCATGTCAGTTTCTAGCGTTATTTATTGTGATGTTTTTTTAACTAACGTGTTAAGCCAAAGGCTGATTTCCACATCTGTAGACATTAAAGATTGTTATTATTATCTTTAATCATGATCCCTTTTCGGTCCAGTATTAGGTAATGTTGTGGCGAACAGCGTGTTTGGGCTGCGTGCCAATAACTGCCCCCGTCATGGTGTGACAAAGAGTTCACGGTAAGGCCGAGCAGACTGGGACAGTGAGCCTGGTGTGAGACAAAGTGCCAGTGTGTGAAATGCCCCCCCCCCCCCCCCCCCCATTTGCTGGAATGACGGAGAAGCTTCACAGTGAGGCATCCATCTTTTTAATGGGACCCATCTGCAGAGGTGGGTAATTCAGGTCCAAGGAATAATAATCCAGACCAGGATTTTGTTTCAACCATCCAGTTGTGTAATCTGTGACTGTCTCTCTTTATACTCAACTGGATGGTTGAAACAGAATCCTGGTCTGGACTTTTACTCTCTGGACCAGAATTCGTCAGGCCATGTGAAGATACCTCGCTGCTCTTTTGGGGCTCATGCCCCACCGCATGCCCCCCTCCCTTGTCACTGTGCAGTCACCTGAGGATCACACCTACAGTGTCACCGTGCTGGCAGATGTCAGCATCTTTGTCTCGATTGGTGTTTCTCAACCCAGACAGTCCACATTTTTGCTCCCAGGATCAGAACCAATCAAGAACACTGAACACTTGGTACAGGTGTTTTGGGAGCTGGGAGGGAGCAAAAGCTTGGAATCACCGCTGTAGACCATCAAGTTGACGCTCTCAGTTGACCCTAGGAGTGAGCAGGGTTCATGATACCTACCCCCTGCTAAGTGGGAGTCTAGGTCCTCCAGTCTCTAAGACCAGACAAAGCGGCTTGGTAACCATTGGCAACACTGTTGTGTGTGAGTAGCCGTGCTCGTGTGAAATGTGCAGACTGTGAGCCTCCGTCGCCTTTTCCTGCCTTCAGTCACACTTTCATCCCCAGGCTTTCGATACCCATTGGGTCCAAAGGCTGGTGCCATTGCTTTAAACGACTTTGACGCTGCTTCTGCAGTACTGGGAACAGGCATTCCCACCCATGACTTGGGCATCTAACCCATATAACTCATACAGAGAAGTTAATGAGGCTGATAGCAGGCAAAAAATGGCACCCATTACAGCCACCCCCCCCCCCCTTTCTAGGGCAACAAATGCTCTCGGTTTGACGCAAATTGAACGGGCAGAATCATTTTTGTGCCCTTGGGGTAACTTTCTGAGCCGTTAAGCATAAACACCAAATGCGCCGTTTCAGGCGCAGGTGCACTCGTTGATGGGGGGGGGCTATATGTGAAATGGCAGCCCGAGGAAGTGGGGGGTGCGGCGCTACCGAGACAGCCACAGCTCCAGACATAGTGGGGTAGTTTCGTAAACGTGCCCATTTTCCATCTGCTGCGTTCTCCTAACTAACCCTAAAAAAAGCTGCATGCCCCCTCTTCTCCGCCTGTCATGGGGGGGACTGGGGCTCCATTCCCTGATTGAGAGAGTAATTTTCCCCAGGATTAATAAAGTATCTGTTTATAGTCAAATTAATCAGTACAGGGTTGCTGTGAGCTTATAGTCTGTTCCTGGAAGCACTGGGAGCAATGTAGCCAAGAGGACATCTGTGAGGAAATTCCAGCCCAAAGCTTTATGTGGATTAAAATTTGCCATTTTATAGGAAAGCATGAGTGACCTTCCATCAGTTGCTTACAAGTCTATATATAACAATCTTTGACTTTTAAAAAAAATACCAACAGAATAAAAAGACACTTGGAAAAAAATACTCCATCGACAGTCAGTTTGTAATAACGTTTTATTTGCCTGAAATTATGCATACATGGGGTGGGCTCAAAAACCAAGGTGGTCAGAAGTCACGTGGGGGGGTGGGGGGCACAATTGGAAACCTGGGGGGCGGGGTTAGTTGTCACGTCATTTTCGTGCCTAATCTCATCTCACTACCACCTGGACTGCACCACGAACAAGTTTCCTGCAGCATTGTGACCACGGACGTCCAATAACATGCAACAAAACACTCGGAACTACCTCACGGTGAGCCTGAATCTCGGCTCGACTCGTTAGGCCTCGATCTAGCATCATACTACCGCACAGTGAGCCTGAGACTCATTAGGTCTTGCTCTAGCATCGTCTGCTCCTGGCAAACAAGCAAAAAGCAAACAAAAAAACAAACAAAGATGTCTTACATGGAAAAGAACGGTGATTACAAAAGGGGCGATGTCTCGCATGTCGCTGGCTGGATGATGCCAGCTGAGTTCTGGTGTAACAGTGCTAGACGGAGCAAATAAGACCTTAGGCACCACGCTTGGTGACTCTGCGGGGGAGGAGAGATTGGAGTGGGAGTCACAGTGTCCCTGGTTCTACTCACTAGATTCTTGCTACAGAATCTGTCACTGGTTCTCTCGTTAACCGTTTTTTTCCCCCCCTCAATAGCACTGATTTTGTCAACTGATCGGTACCAAATCAGTCCAGGATACCAATTTTTTTTTTTTTAATTTTATTTTTGAAAAACGTGCATTTAATCTATATATGAAGATTCGACGACCAGTCAGCTGTTAAAAACAGCAGCGGAGTATTTCCCAAGGCACTGGGGAGAAAGTGAGGGACCTCATGGTCACACTGTCACCAGAGTCACCTGCCGTCTCGGATGGGCGCCACCCACCTGCTTTTTCCCTTATTGCACCACGGTTTAAACATATTTAGAGAATAAAACATGTAATTCCAAGCCCTCCCTGACCAGCTTCAGATAAAAGTTATTAAAAATATTTTAAAAAAGCAAAATGATATTAACATACATGCCAGTAAATTGTCCACAAATTATGAAGCTCTAGTTCCCTGGAGTTATACAAAGGCACATATATATATATATATAATATATATAATCTATTGAAATAAATATATGTGATTTTCTAGGATGATCTAGCACTGTTCCCCTTCCTCTGTACCATGTAAGGTCACTGTAGCCCTGTGGATGCTGCAGGCTGGCTGTATTTGGGATTAAATGGCCCCTCCAATTGTTCAGGTCAAGTCAGAAGGTGTGGACTCCCCGAGGTGTGTGTGTGCGCGCGCGTGTGTGTGTGTGTGCGTGTGTGGGGGCGGCAGCATTCCCAGGTGGACACAGTGAACTCCAGCGTGTTGCACTAGTGTGTTTTTCCGCCACAGACCTGAGGCAGCGGTGTGTCAGCTTTGGTGGGTGTTAATGTAGCCATTTCAGGTACGTGGTTCATTAGTCTGTTATCCAGCAACAAAAAAAAACAGGTCTGTTTGTGAATTTATATAAAACAAAAAGGTGATACAAATCTCGATTAGAGTCACACCGACATAACATACTGTGCTCGTACATGTAACATACATATCTGTGTCCTGGAAAAAAAAAAAACACACACAAACACACTCAGATGATAATAAAAGAGTAGGGTCTTGGCACTGCGCTAGATCCGATTTGACCTCCGTCCAAAAATAAAAACAAAAGTTTAAATAGTTCATTAAACTTCGAAATGAAAGCCTTACTTAAGAGGTCCTTTGTTTTTATTGAGGTACTGTTAGCTAGACAGAATCTTTCTGTTGGCAATATGGACGAGGCTTTGCGCTTCTCTTGCAAAGCCGTCGAATTTAAAGGTTTGGCTTTTGTTCCGTCGAAGCTCCATTTTTTTTCCCAATGCAGGCAGAAGCAGACAGATTAAGAAATTGCGTAGACAGAGACTGAGTAATGTCACATAACCATTTCTTAAAAATTGTTTTTTTTTTTTTTTAAAAAAAAAAAAAAAATAATAATAAAATAAAATAAAAATTGAAAAGTCTTTCCCAAAACCTCGGAGTAGAGTTCCGGGAGGCAGCCTTTGACCTTAACGCTGTCACCAGCCGCAAGCTCTTCTGGCTGGGGGAGCTGCCTGGTCTGAGCCCTCCTTCACCATCCCCTCGTTAGTTCATGAACTGGGTGTAGCCTTCAGCACCCGTCACTATGACGTCCATCCAGATGCGCATGGCTTCTGCGGAGGGGGCCACCATATAGTAGAGTCGGTCGTGGGTCTTCACACAGAAGGTCAGCGTGGGGTTGGGGCTCTGGGGGGGGGGATAGAGATATTCCATATTCACAGCAGAATCAATGTGGCCTTTGTTACCCTCAGGCTCCGCCCCCCCATCCCCTCCTACCACCACCCACACCACGGCCACCAGCACCGGCAGCGCGAGTCCAGCAAGACATCATGCAGGGTTACCATGGCGTTACTAAGGAGCGTTCACGCGGCAACGGGCAACAGCCATCTATGCAGGCCTGTAAACAGCACACCGCTTCCCTAGCAGGACGACGACGACAACACCGTCAGTCTGTCAGACTGTCACCCGTGCTGGGCACAACAACCCTAGTCAGCAGCCCAAAAAAAGAACATTGTGGTCATTATCGTGTAGTTATGTTAGGGTTTCCGAAGACGGATGTTAGGTCTCCAGGCAACATCGGAATGTTCACGTTCACAACAAGCAGAAACTCGAAACATGTGACAGGGCCTCCACACAGCCAATCCTTAAGAGGCCCCCGGGTGGCGACTCGGGACCCACCTCTCTGCGAAACTGGGGGGGCAGCAGCTCTGAAAGGTGCTGGAGGGGGGAGGGATCAGAGGGTCAGGTTCTGGGGAGGGGTGGTATACTGGGGGCACGCACACACGTGGTCACCATACGATATATATCAGGTCTCATTTTCACTCCCTATAAATCAGGAGGACGGCCTGCCGGTGTCACGCACACACGCGCATTCACACGCACGCCCACAAGGGGGAGTCATACATACACTGGGCAGACTCAGGTTGAAAAATCCCTTCTGCAAAGCCGGGCCAGTCAAAGGAGGGAGGGGTAGGAGAATGAGCAGGTGAAAGGAATGAGTGAAAGAAGGAAAGGGAGGGAGGGTGAGAAAAAGAAAACAACTCAATGGATGTACGGAGAGCCAGGAAGGTTTAAATTAACAGGGGGAAAAAAAAAGCGACGGTAACATTTTTACAGATGCAGGAAAAGAAAACAGGGCAGCGATTTCAGCGGCCGCAGTGAACAGTGCAGATCCTCCGACGCAGGATGACGGGAGACCTTTACCTTGGTGGCACTTCGTAGGTGGTCGTAGTAAACTTCCTCTATGGCTTGGAAGTAGATGACCCCCTTCAGCTTGGTTTCGTGTTTGTCTGAGGAGGAAGAGAGAGGGGCAGGGAGAGAGCTGAGCAGAGCCGTCGTCCCTGGGACAGGCGTGGGACGCCGGCTGAAACCCTGACAGCTGGCTGCTTTACGACTTATTTAAATCAGTAACTGACAAGCGCCCACCCGAGCAGGCACTCCGCTTTGGGAAAATCCCATTTCACTCCCACAACGGTGTCAAGGCGACGGCAGGGAAGCTCTCGCTGATCTGTGGTGCCTGACGACAAGAAGTGGCTCCACCCCCCCCCCTTCCTTGGAGGGGAAGGGGGGGGGGGTTGCTTTGTTACCGTATTTCATGTCCGCGCGGAGTAAACACACTGAAAAGCTGCCGTACGGTAGGACCCCGGTACTGCGTGATAGGGGTGTGCAGCACACGAGTTCCCCCTTCTGGGGACGCAGACTGGGAAGGAGTTACAACCGGTTTCATCATCATCATCATCCTCATCCTCATCATACGGAGACGGGCGGCTCCTTTATCCTGACGAGCCGAGTACGAACGGTAAAGTTACGCAGGGTCATGCTGCCTGTCGACTGGCCCGGCCCACTGCAGTTGCCCGCTTCCCATAATCCTCCCTGCCGGGGGCGTGGCTACGGGTGGCCAGGAGGTGAGGAGTGCCCACCTAAACTGATCATCTCTTCCCAACCATCAGCCACATCACTGACAGTCAATACCTATCGCACAAATCTGATTGGATGTGCCAGTGACTTTTAAATTAAGCATCTGTGGTTTGGCCTCTTGGACCCAAGGTTCATTTATATAGCTTAATTCTAGGATTGGGGCTGGGAAATCTGATCATTGATCAGCATAGGGGCTTGCTGGTTTTAAAATGCTGAATTTTCCAACTCTGCCTCACAACCCTTTCAGAACTTATCTCGAACCTACATTTGGGTTGCGACTCACTGATCATGTAAGGGACTGAAGCCACACCCACCTACGTAATAGGAGAAGGTCCGCTTCAGGCGATCGAAGACGAACCAGCGCTTCTTCCACGACTTGATCTTGCCTCCCATCTTGACCAGGTAGCCCTTACACATTTTCTCCGTGACGATCACATGGTAGCAGGTGTCTATGTTGTGGCCGGATGATTCCACGTGGGCCCGCAGGTCAAACTCCTCCTTCCGGATCGGCAGGTAGCGCGTCATGGGCCGGGCCTGCGGGAGAGGTTCAAATGCGGCGCGAGATTGCAAGGCTGCCGTTGGCATGGAAACCAACTAACATGATTGAAGAGTTCCACAGTCGCCGTGGTCACCAGAATGGGCTTCTTCAGCAGGCCCTTTTAGTCAGGCCTGGTTCTACCTTTTCAGGGACCCTTTACTTGGGAGGCCTCCCAGCCATATCTAATCTATAGCTAGAGGCGGCCCTGTGTTTAGGTCAAAAATCTGATGTTTTTTTTCCCGCTCACGTTCTATCAGCCGTGTCGCCGTAAGTATTTCTGCTTCAGAATTCTAACTGATGCATTTATCTACACTATCGACTTGTCAGATGCTACTGTCCACGGCCATGTCCAGTCAGCGCAGATAAACAGACATAACAGGCACCAGACGCAACACCAACAAATGCAAATAACAGGGTCGCAGCTGATGTCTTTTGTCTGAGAAATAAAAAAATGTAATAGAATAGAATATCTGTTACATGCACAATGAAACTGTGCTTTCCACCAAAGCTATAGAAGTGAAATATTTACAATACTGTGCAGAAGTTTTAGGCAGTCAAAGAAAATGTTTAAGGTCATTTATCTGGTGGTCGTATCAAAGAAATGACACTGGCTTATGGGGTGGTTGCTGCGGACACTGGGATGACTTTAGGAGAGCTTCTGATGGTTAGACTAACACTTTTACAGACATAATATAGTTTTTCACCAACGTGAAGACAGGTTAAGCTGGCAGGTCCTACCAGGACACAAAGGGGAACTGCAGCTGGGTCTCACCTGAGAGAACTGCTTCTCCCTCATCTTGACCTCCTTCTCCACCAGCTGCTGCCTCTGCTCCGCCTCTTCTTGCAGCCGATGCTCCGCCTCCTCCCGCCTCCTGCGCTCCTCCTCCAGCATCTGTCGACGGGCTTGGGATTCCCTTTCCTGGGGGGGTTACAGGTAGGAATTAGCACCAGCTAACACTCATGGAAAGACCCCCCCACAAAGGAAAACATTACATCAGACATTTAGATTGCGGTTAATTACAGCATTCCATTATAAGATCCTCAACTTCCTCACCAGCATATCACCACCAGTTCTACCATCATCAGCACTAACAAAGATTCCAGTTAGAGGCATTAAAGTGACTGGAGTTTATGTCATCAGAGCAGCCAGTGAAGGTGTCACTGACTCACCCGACTTTCCAACAGCCTGGCTTTCTCCAGCTGCGCCTCCTTCAGCATCTTCTCCATCTCCTCGATCTTCAGGGCGTCCATCCCACTGGTGCTGCGGCCGGCAGATGAAGGCAGAGGTCAAGTGAACTCCGAAAGCACAATGGGTCATGTGCTATTGTTTTTCTGGTGACATGCAGTGCAACGGCACACGAAGTGTGACGGCGTAGCAGGAGCAACAGCGGCCCCTAGTGTTCGCTCAGGAACCTGCGCTGACCGCCACATTTCTCTGTCCTGCTCAGCCTGTATATCCATTTAAATGTTTTCATTGGATTAATGCCAATATCATAATGGAACCATAAAACGACTCCCTAGATTAATACTAAGATGAAATACTGTGCACATTATAATTTGCATAGATGCACTGCTATATTAATCCAACATTGAAATCATTACATTTTATTTATTTAGCAGATGCTTTTAACCAAAGCGACGTGCATTTTATGTGGAAGCAGGGTCAGCCAATCCCTGGTACAATTGCGGGCGAAGGGCCTCACAGAGGGGCCCAATGGTGAATTTACTTTGCTGCCCCCGGGGATTTGAACCAGCAACCTTCCGATCACAGCCTCAGTGTCCTTACCCACAGAGCTACACACTGACCACTAATTCTGGGCAAGGTTGCTGGAGGGGACCTGAAGCCTATCCCAGACAGGGAAGGGCATAAGTCACATTGTACGGGGCACAAGTCCATCGTAGGACACATACCCACACCCATTAAGGGCGATTAACTGCATGTCTTTGTATGGGAGAAAACTGGAGTAACCGGCGGAAAGCTGAGCGACACCAGCAAAGCAAGCGAGCTCCAAAATCGCACAGTGTGGAGGCCGGATTTAACAGCCCTACCCACTGAGCCGACGTGCAGATCCTGCTACTCAGAACAGCTCTTTTTTTAAAAAAGCCTGGAGGGGTTGAAGCCAATTCAGTCTCTATCATTTTTACAACCAGATAGGAAAGAAAAATGAAAGGACTGCAGTCTATTATCACGAGTAAGGAAAAACACGCATATCACCCTCATGAACAGCTTAACAGATGCTCAGACAAAACGAAGTGCCTGGTGACTTTCCCCCATCTACCGCTAACTTTACATCATGGAATCAGACGGCAGCCGCTTTTGCCTCAAACCTGGACATGTTGTCAGGAGAGCAGGCAGAGTTGCCCGTGGAGACGCTGGTGTCCATGCTGTCGGAACTTTCCAGGCTGACGGTGTCGTAGGCGTGCTCTCCAGCTGCGGGCGGCTGGTGATGCAGGATGGAGTGGTGCACCATGGGAGGCAGGGGCGAGACCAGGGGCACGTTCAGCTGGGTCTGGGAGCCGTGCAGCACCTCCCACTGGTACTGCGCCTCCACCGCCGCCTTCTGCTTCAGCTCCGCCAGACGCCGGCGCTGCTCCTCGATCACCTGGTGGCCTGCGGCGTTCGTGGGAGTTAGACGAAGGGCTTCTTACCTCCACCAGGGGGGAGGGGGTGGGTGGGGGGGGAGAACAGCCGTGCATCATGCATGAGCACAAACGGGCCCATGATTGCCCCCTGGTGGACCGAGCGTGGAAACGACCTTGTCGGAAAAGTCAAAACGGTGCACCGAGCTTGGGCGCATTTGGACCGACACGCTGCGTGGGCTTGCACACATGCCGGGGGTGGACAGGGCTGCAGCTCGCAATAGACACACTAGACCAGCTGTGGGAGTGGGGGGGGGGGCAGTTGGGCATAGGAAAGCATAGCCATCCGAACAAAATCGGTATCAGGGTGGAGATACAACATCAAAGCTGTAGCATGCGTGTGGTCCACAGACGTCAACCAATGCCCCAAGGACCAACATGGGCCAGCCACGTTTCAGTGTAGCCGTGTCCCACGCATACATAAATCATGTATGTGCTGGGGACCCAGCTACAGAGAGCCACAGTCACACACATCGAGGATGTGCACCAAGAATCGGAGTCTGCTTTTGGTCGTCTTTGGTCTTCTCGTCTACGTGTGGCTACAAGCTCATCGCCTATCCTTCTGCAAGGATACACCTCTCGTCAGAGAGGACCCAAACAAGAGCATGCTGCATCTGCTTTCTGCTTAAGGAGAAGGCAGAGTCCCAACTGGGACACGGAGGCTAGGAGCTGAACGGCAAGGCAGGCCCGCTGCCCCCGGGCTTGGGGGTTCTACCTGTGAGGCTGACGCTGGGGGGCCGGGGCTCGACCAGGGGGGACAAGGACACTGATAGATGGGCAGGCAATGTGGTGGTAGGAGAGACATGGAGACAGAGAATACTTTAGTTACGATGGATGGATGGAGAGCTACTGGGCTGGGTGGGGGGCTGGACGGGTAAGATGGGGGGCCCTGATGAGATCAAAGAACCAACTTCTGAACCCTCGTCCCATCAGGATCCTCCCATTGCCTGCTTGGCAGCTGAAATGCATTCGGCTCATTGTGGAATATGCACGAGGTCACCACAAGGGGGCGTCTTACCTTTCTGCTGCAGGGCCAGTTGCCTCTTGGTCTCGATGTCCTGCAGAGTGGCAGCCAGGTTTCGGGGGAGGCTTCCCGTGTTGCTGGGGAGCGTCATGGGGCTCTGTGAGAGGGGTGGGCGAGAGCTATTTAGCCACGAGGATGGAAGAAGGCTGAAGCTGTTACAGTATGTCTTATGTGGTACGACTCGTTTCTGTCTGCTGCACCTTGCTGGCTCACTCCTGAAAATAAACCACTGGGCTAATTGTGGGCTGTGGGGTGTCCCGCCGCACGGAGCTCATGCAAGGTCATTCCCACCCTCGGCCATTAGATTCTACATAGAGTCAGCCTATGGCAAGGGGTGGGGGGGATGACCCACTGTCTGAATGGACCGGAACCACCTAGGCACCTTCACAGAACACTCATTTGTTCACTGCCATACAAACTGTGGAATATTGTGCTGTTGCTATAGTATGGAATCCCTGACATTCTTTGCATTGTTACTGTTTATTGGTATGTATTATGTAGCGTTAACATTGAAACATGTAATCTCCTTTGGGATCATCCATCCATCCATCCATCCATCCATCCATCCATCCATCCATCCATCCATCAAAATTTCATGGATTTCTACAGACACCCATTTTTATAATGATCTCAGCCATTCGCCATGGCAACAGTCATGTGACACACCTTGGCTACCGTGCTACGGCCAAGCGTCGCAGCGCCGTACAATGGCGGTGATCCGCTGCTAGCTTTGGCCCGCGGTCCGGCTGAGCTGCTGTCACTCTCCAGTTTGGAGCGGTACACCTGAAGATGGAGGGAAATCCGCATCAGTCATGGAATCTCCCTTAACGAGACCTCGTACATTAGGACAAACCCTTCAGTCATCCGTCAGAGGAAAACCAAGTGAGGGAACCTTCAGCTTCACCGTGCGCAGCTGTGGTCACACTTCGTACCGCAGCTCTGCTGCTTGAAGGACAACGACATCCCGACTGAAGCGGCAGAGACGGTACAGTTCAACCATTCATACCAATATGCCCAGTCAGCGTCACAAAACCAGTGGAGGTTAAGAAAGACGGGGAAGGAGGAACCAGGAGCAGCGTCCCGGAATTACCTGCGCTGGCCTGCGTGACGAGAGAGATTTAGCTGGGAGGGGGGGAGGGCACGGCTGGCCGCTCGCGAGAGGGACGGCCTCCCCGGCAGCCATGACCTCCTGGTACCACCACTCCAAATCCAGAGTGGCCGTTTGAGGCCTGCTCCAATCAGGCTGAGAGGAGCAATCCGGGAAGGAACGGAAGCAGATAGAGTAGAGAACCAGGAAGAACGGTGCGAGACGGCAGCGGAGGAGGAGGAAGAGAGAAAAACAAAGAGTCAACAAGAAAATATTTTAAATGCGAGTTTGAGAACCAACGGATCGCAGACCAGCCTGATAGCTCTGTCCGTTTGTACAGATTCTACCCCTTCAATGCATAGTGAGAAAACAAGGCAACATTCTTAACGCAGAGACCCCAGCAGTAATTTCTGCTTTGCGCTAATTCTGAACCATGCTAAATGAAAGGACTTCCTTCCCAATCCTGCAGGTCCACAGCACGTGAATCCTGAAACGCTGACAAGACTAACAATCTTTCTACTCCAGCCGAGTTTGCGACCACTCTTGACACCAGTTCTTCAGTGAATTCCAAAGAACCTTTGTGAGGACTTCAGCCCAGCAGGATAAAGATCAAGAAACAAGACATTTCTGCCCATTGAAGGGCGAAAAGCTCTGATCTTGACTAAATCTTGCTCTTGACTGATCTTTTCAATGCGAGGAAGTGAATGTACACAGATGTGGAAGAGTACACATGGTCATCGGTCAAGCACACTCCAAGTAAACCGAATGATGACTTTATTAATGGATTTATATTGCTAGTCAGTTAGTATCCAGCACATATCAGTAACAAGTTGAGTTTTCATGAGAATATGGTTTCCAGTACTCGGTACACAGGCTCAGATATAATGGCGGGTGGAATCTGAACGGTAACATCGGGAACATCCAGCGTCTTCCATCACAGCAGTAGACAGGGAGGAGTCAAAGGTCAATGTGCGGTGAATTTTATAGATACTAGAGCTGTCAGATTGAACTGCCATTTAAGGCCGATGGAGTTGAAGCCTCAGGCAGCTAAGCCACCAGCGTACGGGCCGGATGAGGGAAAAGGACGGAATGGGGGGTGGGGACACACACCTCGGTAGAGAGAGAGAGGGAGGAGCCACGGGGAGTTGTGTAGCAGGAGAAGGCGGGCTCTGCAACTACGGAGTGGAATGATTGGACGGGAGAGGTGGGGGAGGGGTCGACCTTCGGCATCCCGAAGATCTGGTTTACTTGGCTGAGAGTGATGTAATCCTTTCCACAAGCACAAGCAGAGCGAGGGGCATTGGGAGGCAAAAAAAGCGCAAGAACAGAAAGAAAGAAAAGAAACGGATAGACATACAGAGGAGAGAGAGAAATAGGATTAGCCTCTGCAGTTTAAGGCCTGATATATCATGTTAATAACATTTTATGATTAAAAGAAATGTTATGGTCAAGATGCCGATAGTTAAATTTCCAAAAACTAATATACTCTGCTGCAATTTGACAAACTGCCCTAATACTGTTCAGAGTGAACAAGAAGTCAAATATTACAGAGGGACAAAAGCAGCTAGTATTATATACAGAGACACTGGCTGTGGATATGAATGAAATTTAATTTTATTTTAAAATACAGTGCAAAATATACCAGACATATGGGAGACTATGATACTTAAAATGCAATCCATTGAATTTAAAATCCCCTCAAAGGTATAACTTGGAGAGACGCCTATGGAATAAACACACTGAGCTGATATAAAACAAAGACCAAATAAGGTTGGGACGTTCCTCTGTTGGCCTGAGGCTAGCAGTGCGGCCCAGAGCAAACCACCACCGTTAAATGACACGCAAATAATGTGCTTTACAGCCTACAAATGCAGTTCAGCAGCAAGAGGACCGGATGTAAGAGAATCAACGCAAGACAGTGACGTAGCTGCGACTGAGACATGCTGGCGAGGGGGGGACACGGGGAAAGAGAGGGAGGGAGAGAGAAAGCGGAGTGGTACCTCGCAGGAAGCGGCCGGACCTACGGCGAGCGAGAGGCAGTGCGGAGCAGGGGTAGCGGCAGCTGGGGGGTTGAGGTTTCCGCTCCCATACATCTTATAGACGTCAGAGAGCTTCAGGTACCCCCGAGAGCACTAGGCCCACAGCAGAGGCGTGTGGGACGAAACGGCGGTCAGTATAATCATGGATTCTCACACTCATACACACAAATGCACCCAAGATATGCTACCACTGCTTTTCCATTTGTTCACCAAGCTCTTGATGAGGACACATCTAGAAGGGGGGGGGGGGGGCACTTGTAAAAGGGCCACCAGCTCTCGAAAGCAGCCTGAAAATGTTGGCAGGATGCCGGGGGCTGCAGCCCAGATGTACAACAGAGAAGCACAGTGAGCAAAGGGTGCAGGTGCGTATACAGGCTGCTACTAACCCAGGGTGAGGAAGGGGGGGCGGGGGGGGGGGCAAAAAAAAACCTAGTAAAGGCACACGCACAGGGACGCTCTCACAGCAAGGCTCTCCATGCAGTCCCTGAACACCAGGCAGAATGCTTTAGCAATTCACCACAGAGCTGGTGCTCCAGAGAAGCAGACTCACATTCTTTCAGAAAGCAAACAAGTGGGGAAAAAAACAAACAAACAAACAGCGGCCAAAGTCAAGCTGAATGCAAACGAGTGTGGGGGGGGAGCGTGCACAAGACACAACGGCCAGTGACGACGCTCGACAAAAGCGTGGCCTTCGTGTGATGATCGGTAGGACGGGGACAGAGACGCGGACGAGAACCCACACAGAGACTGTGCCAAACTCAAGAAGATGACGGGGAGGGCGGGGGGAGGGATTGTAAGGCTGCATGCAGGACCGGCCAGCCAGATTACCTCATGGGGTCGGATGGGATATATCTGAGAGGATGAAGCGTTTAAGTAGGAGCCGGCAGGTTCGCAGAGGGAATTCTGGGAATAAGCGTCCTCGATTGCATCCGATTCGCTGATATGGAGAACTTCCTGTTCAAAGTTTTTGAGCATCAACAGCTACCCAGGATGACACGTGTCCCATGTGACGTAAACTAGAACATTCCAGAACATTCCCATGACCAGTAAAGCCTAATGCCCAATGACAAAATACCTTTATGGCCACCCAAATGGCAAGCTTTCTCACTGCCAGACCACTAAAACATTCTAAACTGCTGAAGCAGATGAAAGTCGTTTATATAGCATAAGGATTAAAGCTTAAATAGGCACTTTTATTTACAATTTGTTACTGAGCTGTTAATACTTGTTACATTATATTAGGTGATTAGACTTTCTGTTGCTGTTTTTCTAGACCTTGATTTGCAGGCATGTCTGTGATCCTGGCAGAGAAAAACGTCACCGCAGTCACAAACACACAGAGATGCAGACATGAGGATACAGGCAGAGACAGTAAATGGATAGATGGTCCCACGTAACATCAAGTCACAAAAATAATAAAAAGTCAACATTAAATCTCTCACTGGCTGCATTCAGAATCGCTTCATAAAATAAACACAGTGCGCTACAGTTGTGAGAATTCTTAACAGCAGATTCAATGCACTATTTAGTGCAATAAAAAGTACCCACACTGCATTGCAAATCACAGTGTACAGATGACAGACTGCAATGCTCTGTGGATACCGTACTGCACTGCAAATCACAGTGTACAGATGACAGACTGCAGTGCTCTGTGGATACCACAATGCAGTGCGAAGCTGCTGTCTATTACTGGCCCACCACTTGTTATACAAATCAGATGACGCAAGACAGTAACATTTCACACAAAATATAAGCACTTTTTTTTTTATTAAAAAAATTTAAAAATTTACTGAAACTACAGATCTCTGCAAAGACTGAAAATTACTTCTCAGTTTATAATAATAAATATTGTGAGGCTTAGAGAATTAGACTGCTGTGCCTATAATCAGAAGGTCACCAGTTCAAATCCCAGGGCCATCTGAATGATGTCACTGTTGGGACCTGAGCAAGGCCCATAATGACCATGCTTTCAATTGTACATCATTTTGAATGAAAATATCCACTAAATTAAATCTAATTTTAACTTAAATAAAAGTATAGCCTTACACATCCATAGTCACTTCTTCCTTTTATTCTGTTTCCTATATATTTTGTGTATTTAGCTATTTGCAAATGTCAGTCTAAGGTCATAAGGACGCCAGCAGAGCGTTGGGTCTGAGACCATCGCCTTTTTTCAATGGCTAAGTCCCTACAGTCCGAACTGCATAGGCATTTATATATAAGGAATAGTAGTGAGAGAATCAGTGAACCATTTCAAACACAGCCACTCTTTCTGTCACACACACACACACACACACATACATACACAAAGCACCGTGGTGAAAGGAAATGGGGACAAGACATATTCAATTAATTGATCACAATTCATCATTTAAATAAAATGATTTTTTTATTACCCAGCTCTTGCTATCTCTTACTATCCTTCCGCACTGCTCCATTTTTGCGAGCAAATGCAGTACCGAGTATGGACAGCAGGGGGCAGAATGACAGGGCTGCCTCACCTCCTTCATTGTAGTGCTGTTCTTGGGGAGGCTCCTCCCTCCATTTAGGCTGAGGTATCTCTTCTCCAGGGCAGACAGCTTCTCCCTCTCCTGTAAACACAGCGCCACACGGACATCAAAAAGACGTCTCCTCTTCCCAGTGTCACGTGGAGCAATCTGGGGAAAGCTTTCTTCTGGAAACGTCAAGTCAGCTTTAGGCATGTTAAGGTGGGACCACAGAGTGATACACACAGAAGAAATGATGGACAGGACAGATTATGCTATGTGCTGTTTGGAGGTAGAGGAAACCTAGAGTTACGTTTTTTTAAGGCTAAATATGGGTTTCTCTGACTTTTCTGCTACAAACATGACAGTGTACTTAAAGCACAAAGGCTCTGCTTGGCTCTCCCTGCCCGAAGGCCTTGCCGGGGACACCTGCCTTGTGGAGCATCTGCACCGCCAGGTTCCTCTCCTTGGCCAGCCGCTCGCACTCCTGGGCTGCCTGCAGACCCAGCTGGTTGGCCTGGCTCTCCAGCGCCGCCACCTTCTCCTGGAATCCAGCAACACAAAGGGTCCTTTTACGGCAGTGGGAAGGATAAATAAAATTCTGGGCCCGCAGCCTGAGCATGAGCCTGGCAGAACTCGGAAATATGTTGTAGGACGTCTTGTAAATTCTGTCTGCTCACTTGCTGACCACCAGGGGGCAGAAGTCATTAATATCACAGTTTAACTGAAAAATATGAAACTGCAACGCGATAACTGTGACAGAGGGGGGCGCTGCTGCGCTCACCCTTGTGGGACCTTCTTGAGGCGTCTTCACACCTGCCTGACTGAATGCATGTGGTCCGCTCCATTACATTAAAGGTAAGCACGTCATATCATTGTAGTTGGGCATTTGTTGGAAACACAGCCTAGCCACATTCATACTTCGCTGACTGCCTGACAGCACGTTTCTAATGTGCTATTTGCCTCAGTTCACTTTGGACAAAAGAAGTTCAGTGTTTCCTAACCCAGTCCCCGGGGACTCCCAGAGAGTCCACAGCTTTGTTCCCTCCCTGCTGCCAACACACCCAATACCAAATATTCCATGTTCATTATTGGCTAGGAGCTGGAAGAACTCAAAAATGTGGACTGTCTGGGAGTCCCGAGGACTGGGTTGGGAAACACTGGGTTAGCTGGCACTCGTACCTACAGCAACTATTACCTGTATAGCGACATCATACATCTCCAAGGAGACATTCCGCTTGCTGCACTCAAAGGTACAAGAGCAGCACCCTTCTGAAGATCTGAACCGGTAGCCTTCAGGAAAAGGGAACCTGTCTCTGTCAGTTTAGCCTTGGTCTTTTAAACCCCGCTGCTCCCTTTCCAAATTTCCAGTGCCAGACCTCTGGAAATTCCCGCCCCCCAGTAGCTATGCCCATTTCTCATTTGGAACGGGAGCTCTGGCATTCCAGCAGCCCTGAGCGTGTTCAGAGGGTGGCGGTGTGGACATGCTAAGGAGCGTGCTTCCCCCCGCCCCCCCCACACCCCCACCACCCCACCTTCCGCTTGGCCAGGCTGCTGTGGTACTCTGCTCGCTCCTGCAGGAGCTGCTGGCTGACCGTCTCCCTCTCCTCCTCTAGGCTGCTCTCCCTCTCCAGCTGCTGGAACTCCAGGTCCTCGAAGCGCTTGGTCGCCGCCTCCAGGGTCTCTGCCTCCTGAGAGGGTTTGTGGGTAATGAGGAGGGCGAGGGGGAGGGGGCACAGAAGTCACCTAACAGACAGGCTCAGTGACCACAGCAGACAATTACATTTTACTACAGTCTTGCGCTAAAAACAAATTCAAATCATCCAATACCGTAAAACAAAAAACGTATCTAATATATCCCCCCCCCCCCAACAGCCTAAACAAGAGCCCTCCCTCACCCTTAAGGCCTAGACAACGTTCACATCCTTTTTCTTAGGTTACCCTAAACCTCTCGAGAAGTTTAGTGTCGGGCAAACAAGTCACATGACATCCCAGGAGGCAGGACTTTGAGACTGAGCAGACCTCCCACCGTAAATAAACGCATCCCCCGGAGGCCAAATAAGTCAATTAATGGCTCTTGAGCAGTTTCAGTAAATAGTCTTCAAACTAGCAATTAAATAAAAAATACCTAATAAATAAGAATCTGTATGAATCATACACACTACGTATCTGAAAATGGATGTAAGTTTCAAGGAAATACCTCTGGGAATGGAAAACAACTGGAGTGTTACTGACAGCAGACTGCCCGGCTAACTCACAGACCTATCCGTCTCGTTATCTTGCAAAGGCATGTTTATACAGCCCGTAGTCTTACTGGCACGTACCAGGGTTCCAAATAAATGAACGAAGCGAGAATAAACGCCACACCGATAGCGAACCGTGAAAGTTTCCCGGAGTCACCCGAACCAGCACCACCCTCCATCACGGATCCATTCCAGTCTACCGAAGGTCAAGGTGTCGGGGACAACAGAAGAGAGACTCCGCCATTCGGCGTGGTTAGTGATTAGGTCGAGTTAGTGACACACTGTTATGATTAAGAGCTGAAACACGCAGTGAGAAGCAGGACAGGAAACACGGAGACGGCAACGGTGCCCAGAGAGAAGACGCCCCCATCAGAGCGGGGCTGCCTCCGCGGACGAACGTCCCAGCTCATCCCGGGTACCCCGGGTACCCACCTGTTTGTCCAGAAAGCGAGCTGAGGTCTCAGTACGGGAGGGGCCACTGGGCAAGTAGGGCATCTACTCTTATTAAACAACTAAAGGGCTGTTATGTAAATTGCTGATTAAATGGCGGGTAGGCTCTGGGTACGGTGGTGGTGGCAATTTATAAGCACACCCTAGTGGGATGGGGTAGTGGTGGACAAGTGGATGAGGAAAGGGGCTTCAGGCTTTCTGTGACCCGCAGTGTCAGGAATGGATTGCTCCAGTCTGGGAATGTGCAGCGTTATTATTGTTCTATACCGCTGGTCCAAACCATAGGAGAATGGGCATGGGGGGGGGGGGTTTGCTGCTACGGACTGAGTGGTTCTGGTTTTGGTTGCCTTTGACATGAGGAAAGGGAGAGTGGGTTGGACTGGGATCGATGCTGGTGGGGGTGGGTGGGGGCAGACTGACCCTTCGGAACTGGTCCTGTAACTGTTCCCTCAGTGACTCGGGGCAGTTATGCAGCTGGCTCTTCAGCTCACTGTACCCGTCCTGGAGCCTCTCCAGTGCCTCCCTCTCCGCGTCAACTTTTGCCCTCGCCTAGAGAGAGCACAGGCCGCCCGGGCAGGGAGAGAAACGAGGGAGAGAAAGAGAGAGAGAGAGAGAGAGAGAGAGAGATAGAGAGAGCAGAAGAGAGGGAGAGGAGAAAAAACACACTGCTCAAATCCACGCCATGCAAAAGCTTTTGGAGGTTAAAGGTCACATCCGTGGGGAAGCCAGACAGGAGGTGCGGGGCAGGCCGACAAGGTCGGACGGTTTTTGGGATCAGCTACAGTGACGCACTTTCTTACATCACTGGATAATAACCTCTAACAAAAGACTCATTAAGATGTTTGTATTTCTTCCAATTTGCAGTGATTACTTTTTTTTTTGCCATTACACAGAAGTTTAAAATCCAGTACAGGCTTTGATGTTTGTTCTTATCTAATAGGCCTAACCAAAAATTGCTCCAGTTAAAAGTTATTCTGTATACAATGAAAATTATGTTTCTTTAAACAAAACACCCCAGAGCATTTCAGCCAATAGCTCGCAGCCTCATTATGACATCACCCTGTTCTGCAAGACAGGCTGTTCTGAAAGTCCGACGTGGGGGGCTTGTGTTGCCAACTTATTTTGTCCTGTTCTTTAGCAGAATTAAGGAGGGCACTGGGCCACACAGACATTAGTGTGTGTTTGCCCCTTCAACCCAGCTGCATCACAGTCCAGCCTTCAGTTCCCTCCCCATCGTCCTGTCCCCAAAAACAGAAAATTGGTGCTTTCGTTTCAAGGGTACTACTGCTAGAATTTTATAATCGTTCAAATTTCTGCTCGTTAAAAATATGTTCAGCGATAATATTCCAAAAGGGCTACAAGCTGAAGATGTCTTTTCATTGTTTTATTTTCCAGTCTTAAATAATATTCTGATCTAAACAAATTTTTGTAAGCCAGCAGCACACGGATGAGTGCAGCACTGCAACAGCTGGCTGGGAAGCTTTGGTTGAAAGCCATCACAGGACTTTTCATCATCAAAATCTTGGAAACCGGAGAATACTATTTATTTCCTACAGCTTATTTACAGTAGCGGGGGCGTGTTTTCACAGCCAATTTGACGACAGGGATTCCAGTCACACCATTTCATCGATAATCTGTTTTGCTTTCTGCAATCAGACCTTCCCCTGGGCTATGTTGGTTTTCGAAGCGGAGAGGTGGGACTTTGCATGATTGGGTGATGCTCCTGCCAGTCACCTCTCACTGGCTCCCCCTCAGTTTGTGGGGCAGTACTGCACTTTGCAGATTAGGCTTTCAGTTTAATTACAGAGTGTGAGTTAGGAGGTAAGAGTGTCAGCCAAGGTAGAAAACATGCACACACAAACACACACACACACACACACACACACACGCACATGTACACCAAGGGCCCGCTCTAATCTGGCAAATTTCACACAAATCATGTTTGGCTTTGTTTCTGCACTGTGGACACTGTTCTCTACAGCACTAGAAACACAAAAATATAAGACATAACAGAAATACGGCCTTAAGAGCCTCAACAAGGGCATTATTAGTGCGCAGTGCCTAAGGGGACATCATCCCCTGAATGATGACATCATCTCTTGAATAATGATATCATGCCCTGGAGTCAATGCAGGATATTCATTCTGCTAGAGCATCATCCCTTTGTGTCAGGTAGGGTAACCCTGTATCTACTGTTGGCATATTGCTGAGGTTGTGAGTCTCCCATCAGACCAAAACTAGTTACACACAGGCTGCAGGAGAAGACCCTAGGGGCCATCAGTGGAGGCGTTAAAGGGGTTAATGGAGGCAGGTTAGTGGAGCCAAGCTACGAGGAAGCCCTGGGTCAGACACAGGAGACCACATAGGAGACAGAAGCTGTGAAGAGGAATGGAGGCAGAGGGCATTGTGAGAAAACTGAAAGACCTATCCTCTGACCTTCCAGACAAACTACTGGGCTATTACCAGTTGTGGGCTTTCACATCCCCTCATCACCACTTACCTCATGTTGGGAGGACAAACCAGAACATGCAGTAGAAGCCGCCCTAGCTTATGGTGTCGAGATCCTACAGAGACCTGGCACAAGGAAGCAATGTTGCCAGGTTCTGAGAGGATGCTAAGATAAGGTCTTTATCTAAACTGGGCCTTGGGTAGGAAGGTGGGGGGCATCCAACAGGGGCCATACCTTCCAGGAATGTCAAAGACCAGAGACTCCTATTCCATCTCAAGAAGAACCCTCAAAGAAAAGGGTCAACTTAGCAAGGTCATGGGAGGCATATCGAGTGGACGAAAAGATCCCAAACACCGCTCCTCTTACACAGCAAGTCAAGCTTACAAGTGAAACGCACAACATTAATCTTACACCAACTGGTGGCAGATAATTGCAGAGAAATAAGACAGCAGTCTATTAATGAAAAAGCATATCAAAGACGATTTAAAACTCTGTGGTTTCTTTTTGTTGTTGTCTCTGGTGCTAAGAGGCAGGTATGTTTAGTGCTGCGGTGACACCACCATCTCCAGAAGATCTGGAGTGGGAGGTGTTAGCGTGTGATGCAGAGGCGTGCATCCGTGTGCGTGTGTGAGGCACATCGCCTGGAGTTCCAGGATCCCACCTTGTCCTTCTCCCTCTGGACGGCGCCCTCCATCTCGCTGAGCTTGCGCTGCAGCTGAGCGATGATCTCCGCCTCGGCCTGCATCTGCTCCAGCTCAGCCTGCCGCTCGCCCTGCAGCAGTGCCCGCTCCATCTCCGCCTGGGCACATCGCCAGTCAGGGCTGAGCGCCGCCCAATCTCAGGCCTTACACACACCAACTACTACTAACCCAGCAAAGCCAACAAAATACCAGGATATACAATTTACAACTGAAGAGCAAATGTCCAAAAACTTACTCAGTCCATGGGATACGTCTACAGAGAAAAATTCTGTGGACTTTGGCAAATTTAACGGAAGGTCTCCTTTGGATTACATGAGCACTGAATGAGTTTTGGTTCCCAGTACAGTAACATATTACGATGAAGAAGCCTGACTTTAGGTCATTGGTGGTCTACCTCAACAACAATAAAAATATGCAGATGGTTTTGAAAATTTGCTCTTCTATTACTTCACCTAAACATCCTAAAATACACTTCATAAAGCTGTAAGATGCAACGTAAGAAAGTTGACATGGCTGCTGGTGACAATCAGCTACACAGGAAGTGACATGGATCTACTTCCTGTCTGTTAGCACACTGAGAATTCCCAGTCCTGCATTCTCCCATTGGCTTCACCTCATGCCTGGACTCCTGCAGCTGTTGCTCCAGCTCGGTGACTCGTGTCTTCAGCTCGTCAACCCGTGCCAGGACTCGGACGCGCTCCTCTTCCATGCAGGCCAACTCCTGCCGGCCGGCACTGCCCAGTACTGGTGAGTCCTCATGCTACGTGAGGGACAAAGTTAAGTCATCAGCGGTAACCTGACCCAGGATCAGCGGGCATGCTACGTATCTCTCCCTGGGCCCCCACCTCATGATGAGTGCTCTCAGTGCTGCTGCACTCCTCCTTCAGGTTCTCCTCATCACTTTCCCTAGGCCTTGCTGGGGCCCGCAGAGGTGCCGCACCAGCCGTCTCCATGGTGGGTCTCCTGACCCCCCCCGACTCGCCGGGGAAGCCCAGTCGCCCCGCCCCCTCCATGCTGGGTCCATCACTCTTGTTGTACTCAGCACAGAGGTTCAGGATGGTCTCCAGCCGCTGCCGCTCCTGCAGATATGGAGGAGGGGGGAGAGGGGAAGACTTCAGAGTCAATGACAGCCAGGAGAGACGACCTCATCGTGACTGTAGGGTGCCCTGCAGAATGTGACCGGTAATTAGGGCCTCCCAAGGCTTTTGTTGACTTTATACCCTCATAAAGCTGCATCCTGTCTCACAGGATGGTCATGAGGTCTGACCTCAATGACTCCTACGCACAGCTGAGTTAGATTTGAGGTCTCACAGGCCTACTGGCAAGAAACCCTCCTTCTCACATGGTTACCTGTAGAACACCTCGCTGGGTCTGTGGTAGACAGAGTCCACCTGAATCGACCAGCTTATAGTCGGGGCTCTTTTGGCTAGTAAATGCCTTCAGCTTCAGCCACATCCTCCAGCACTACCCATTCCAACGTCAATTGCAAACCACACACAGTGAGGGGGACCAACAGCTGCTGCCCTGGGCCCACCCTAAATAAGCCAGAGACCCCCCCAACCCCCACTGACCTCCCCATGCCCCCTGCCCATCCCCTGGACCGCCAGACTGTGTGACTCCATCACGCCCCCTGCCCATCCCCTGGACCCCCAGACCGTGTGACTCCATCTGGGACCAGTTTCGGCCTGGCAAGCCTGCGATCACCCGACATTAACACAAGGTGGCGCCTGAAGACTTACAATTTCCACCCATTTATTTAGCTTTATATACTACTAGGGACTCGACTGTACCACCACCTATGAGACCTTCACCTATCGACATTCTAACTACGCATCTGCACCTTTATCCCCTACGCTATCTGTAGCTCACACACAAACACCTGCAACTTGGAGACACAAACACACGCTAATAATGCTCTTGCTAAAGATAATGATGAAGAACAGAATTCTGCCTCCTTAAATAAAGGTACATTAATTAGTTTAAATGGCATGTTTTCATTCATTTTCATGAATATCAGACCCTAGTAAAGGTTTAGCCCCCATATCATAACACTCTAGTGACCCTCCTGATGAAGAGGCTCCATCATGTAAGGAGCGACCATATCGCCATTCATGGAGAACATCGTAAAGAAGCTACCAAAGGCCACGTAATCGCTCCCAGATCCTGCGCGCTGAGCTGCCCACATGCTGCTCTTTGAGGTCGGTGCGATCCACAGAACTCCAATCGACTCGCATCCCTGCCTCCAACGGCCAATGCAGCATGTTCGTAAACATGGTCCCGGTCACACACCACACTCCTGCGTGCCCGATCTCAGCAGGTACCGGACGGTATGCATGACTGTAGGAAAGTGTAAAAACTGGCCCGAAACACGTCCAATTCAGCTGATCATTTCTCTGTTATTTAAATTTTTTTTTTCATGAAAAGAAAGGATATTACTCTTTGTGTCACCCAATATCTTGTCGTTATTTCTTTCAAAAACTTCACTTTAATTATCCATTGAAATGTACTGATTTTCTGGATTCTTCAACTAAAATATTGGTCAATTTCACCCTCAATTTTCTCATAGAATCCCCAGAGAAAGTCCATTAAACAAGGAATCAAAATAAAGCTTGAAAGCTTGATTTGATGCATAGTAAAATGCCATAATCAATGAGAAACCTGCAGTGGAAATGAAAGCGAGGTCTCCACTCATCATTACTGTCTTTGGCCACAAAATAAAACATTTTAACTTATTAAATCTAACCTGGGCCACTTTTTAATGTTTACATGCCGGTATCCAGTCGCAGTGCCTCAGAGACTCATGATTCGCTCACGAGCAAACAAGCCAAACGCCACCCAACCGAAACCAATAGCGGCAAGCAGCAGGGACGCACATTCCGACTGGACAGGACCGCAGGGACGCTCATTCCGATTGGACAGGACCGCAGGACGCTCATTCCGATTGGACAGGACCGCAGGGACGCTCATTCCGATTGGACAGGACCGCAGGGAGCAGAGAGTGGCGCAAATGCGACTGCCCTCTGGCAGACTCACCCGCATGGCTGTGCACAGCGACTAGGAAGAGCAGACATGCACACGGAGCTCCGGAGGTCGTCGCCTTGTTCTGTGACACGCTGACAGAGGCTCGAGACAGATGAACAAACAAGGCCCCTCCCACCTGGCAGCACCCTCCATCCCAAACACAGCCTTGACGCTCCTACGCAAACACTGCCCAAGATGTGGGTTATCTCAGAGGTAATAAACCTCTCCCACACCGTCTCATCACCCCCAAGCTGTACTATCAGCAGTATAGTGAGAACCTGGAACATTCTGAGCAGTACTTTAAAGCCAAAAAAACCCAGAGCAAGACCTGTCTCTCTTATACAGAGCTGTCAGCTCACGTCAGTCGCCTCTCCCGGTATCACAGCAAAGTGTTAAAAGCTAACGTGTAGGCTTGAACACCACAGAGAGTGAAAATTTTCAGACTGTCCTTTGAACTAAGTGCCCTGAGCACTTTGGAGGAAAAAAAATGCACAGCCCCGAAGCCAAATAAAGACAGGAATCGACCTCAAACGAATATAAATAAAGCCTAAGTGGGCACAATGGGATTTTTGACCTTGTGCTGTGCGGGTTTCAGTAGTGTCTATACGGCTGGTTCATCATTTTTTGGGGCCCTAAGCAACATTTTATTAACCTAGTTGTTATTTGCCATCTTCCTTCCCATTCTGACAGGCTGATCAGATAGGGCGCCCCCTGGTGGCCGCTGGGCCCTAAGCAGCTGCTCAGTTCGCTTATGCCTTGGCCGCTGACCCTGAACAGCTGCCACCTGCACAGAAACTGTTCAGACTACACAATTCCTCCCACGTAAAGCCCCTCCTGCTCTTTATCACCGCCGGCCCTGCAGACGTAACAAGGTCTCTGATCCTCTGAGAGGGGGCCGGATCTGCACCCTCGCCTGGGGTCAAAGGTCGACAGCGTCGGATGCTTAGCTTTATAGCCATATTGACCGGCTGTAGCCACAGTAATTGGCTGTTTCCCCGAAAGCCCCCACCCCAGAGAGCTGAGGCATTCAGCCCCCCCCCCCGGCAGGACAGGGTCCATGTGGGTGTAAAGTCCACAGGCGGCCCCCGCCCATGCAGTGCCCCACATTCCAGAGCAAACTCACTCTGTGCCGGGCCTTGTCGTCCCCCCTCCCTCTCCGTCTGACACACATACATAAAGTTTCATTTTCATTCTTTCCGCGTCTGTTTCGGCGCTGCGGCGCTGACAAACACAGACGGGCACGCCAGAGCGCACAAGCAGTCACGTACGCCAGCGGTCTCCCCCTCACATCCTGCTACTGACTGGGCCGAGACGCTCACACCACAAGCCGGTAGAGACTGCACTGGTGGGCCTCCTATTCCTGTCCGCCACTAATTTTAGGACGGGGTGGGTCTGAAGGTCCCATCTCCGATGCAGCAAACGGGTGGACAAACTGTCCGGCTCTTGGGAAAAGGCTTCCCCAATCTCACACTATTACGAAACGAGAGCCCTTAAAGCACATCACATAGTGTAGTATTAGTGGTGCACCGATATAGAACTTACTGAAAATATTTTTGTCTAATATTACCGATAACTGGCCGACCTCTGTGCTTCACAAATCAGTAGCGAAACTGATTCTGTTGATGTTACTTACTTAAGGTCCCATGAACAGAGTAGAAACCACATCATTCAAGCTTCAGGAATGTTTATTGTAATTCCGAGAACATGGGGGTAGCGTGTAGGGAATGAAATCAAGTGCTGAAAAAAAATAAACATTCACTTCTAGTGAAAAGAATCAATTACAAGCTGTTTTAAGTACAGATGAATATTAAATGCAATAGTATTAGTGGTATGGGTATAGATATAAATATTCATATTTATGGCACATGAAAGAGAGTGATGTGTGATCCGTTGGAGGCGGAGAGACATCAGTGAAGCAGGGGGGGACTTGGGAGCCTGTAGCGAGGTTCTGAGTGGTAAACAAGCCAATGAAGTCCCTTCTGCTCGGCTATGGAAAACGACTGATTGTTCAACTTGATTGTCGCATTTATTTCAGAAGTTGTGTCAATAGCTTTGGTGCTGTTTGAATACTGACTAAATACCAACCAAGACCGATACATCAGACCAGTGCTGATGTCTTAATTTCATTGAACGCTGGCTGATACCAATATGTTGTGCATCTCTATGTAATGTAAAACGAAAGTCTAAAAAAGTGGCAGGACCTGTATGGATGGCGGCCCTGATCAAATAAGCAGTTCAGGGCGACGATTCACCAGCTTCCTTTTGTGACGCTGCTCAGATTCTGTCGCCAAGGGCAGAGGAGTTCAGTCCGAGTTCATGCATTCGGCCTGTGCTTGTTCTTAATGTCCTGAGAGGGCAGTCACTGCTAACAGCTCTCCAAACTCCGGCAAACGGGCTTTTGGCACACACCCAAGTGTGCAGAAGGCCGCTTAGACGTCCTGGGGGGTTAATGACTCCCCAGCAGACGCGCCAGACAGTGGGAGGCATACGCTGCGGTTTCGAGAAACCAGACAAGGTGGCCCGGTATTTAAACTCTGCACGCGTGGAGGACGGAGGATGGTTGAGAGGCAGGCTTTGTTGTTTGAAGGTAACCCACACAGCTTCACTGTTTGCTGTGCAGGTATATCGCACAATGAAATGTAATCATTTGGCTGCGGCTGTTTACATCTGAGCAGTTCTGGGAGTGATCTGGGTCACGGGTCTCACATTGTGACGCAAATGCGGGCGTCCCTGGGAGACTGGACCATGCAGGCCCATGCTCAAAGGTCCGGGCCCATACCCAGGACGCTGTACACGAGACTACATCACACACTGGACTGCAATGGTACTCGGTAATGAAGGCGCTAATCTGCTTAGCAGCTAATGAGCCCAGAGTAATTTCAGCGCCTCTTAAAGGTCAGCTGATCGCGGGCCTCCTCGAGGTTCCGTTGACCGCGGTGCTTTTGGCCACCTTGCCATATAATCCAAGTTCTTGGCCTCCGAAGCGGACAGACATGTTGAGACCCCCTGCAGGTCAAAGGGCTTCTGAACAACCATGAGACGAGTCCTCAGCCCAGCT